GCACTTTGACCAGCTACACTGTAGCTATAGCACTTACTTTGCTTAGTAAATAGTTTGCTAAATAAACTCTGCTGAAGTGGACAGGGTATTGATTTTGTATCCAGCTATATAAAAATTGGGTGCGGAAAATCAAACAACATTAGACCGATGGAAAACGTTATTTTGAACGAAATAACAGTCCCTGTTCAGAAAGAGTACCATAAAATTAGAGACTGTAGTTAATGTAAATAAATTTCTATAATTAACAATAACCGTAACTGTGTTTTTTATTGCCTTGGCACTGCCAGCACCAAGAGCATTTTCAACACGAACGCTAGATGGCACAATTATTCCAAGAGGAATCTATAGAGATTTAATGCAAATGCAGAATGTTAAACAAAATGGCCAACTCAAGGTCGACTTTTCAAATAATACAGTGGAACAGGCGTGTTTAAAACATGAAATGGCGAAACGAAGAAACGGCACTATGGGTAAGAGTCAATGTGAGTGTCTGTAAGGGTTAACCCTTACAATTATTGATGAAAGACAACCACTGCCGAGATAGTGGTATTCAGCCTAACACCAGCGCTGTGCAGGCTGACCAGAGCACTATTTAGGCTACAGGTGTCTGCGGTAAGGGTTAACCCTTACAATTATTAATGAATAATAACCATTGTTGAATCAGTGAATTCAGCCTAACATGAGCTCTATGCAGGCTGACCAGAGCACTATTTAGGCTACAGGTGTTTGTAAGGGTTAACCCTGACAATTACTGCTGTCGCGTCAGTGATATTTAGCCTAACATGAGCATTATTTAGGCTGACCGGAGGCTTACTATTTACGCCAAGAGTGTCTGTAAGGGTCGATAACCCTTTCAATTACTGACAGCTAACCACTGTTCAGTCAGTGACATTTAGCCTAACATGAACACTATTTAGGCTGACGGGAAGCTTACTATTTAGGCTAACCATAGAGGGAACCATGCTTTGAAGATCAAGACAAAGCAGATATAGAATCCTAGAGCTGGAAAACGAGCGTTTCTTGGGCGGTTAAAATAAACCTTGGAACCTTAGCAGAAGCAAATAGAAAGAATAGTTAATGGACGGTTTGCGAGATTAGACCATTCTTGTGGAATGCATGGAGGTCGAGTGCAGACCGTCGGCCTACTAGGCCGCCTGACTTTTCCTCTGTAAAATGGAAGCAAAACACCTTAAATTATAACTCGACAAACATCAAGTCAGCCAATTTTTTTAAAATTCTTTTCTACACGCAACATTTATGATTTAGAGCAATTGTCGACGTATTTTCATATATCATTTTAAACGCACAACGGCTGAAATCGGAAGGCAAGCACCAAGAGCATGATGTCCCGTAAATTGTATACAGCGTCCGGGCAATCTGTGCTTTCATAGTGCCTCTCTTTTCTGCCTCCCCTCTTCCCTACCCACGGCAAGGAGTAAAAGTGGGTACAATTTAGTTTTTAAAGGACTTGAAGTTGAAAGAGGTACACAGGGAGAGGCAGTGGGCTAACGGTTGGCTGAGAGGGACCAGTACCCTGTCTCAAATATAATTGAAGTAAATCGAAAGAGGTACAGCTTGTAAGCACTTTCCTGACATACAGCAACCGTTTCTATGGGCACTGCTACATCAAACATGAATTACCTACCTCTGAACGAGAGTCTCAATGGGGTTAACCGTCAACTATCAAAGGGCCAAAAATTAACGGTCAACTGTCAAAACGCAATATTTTTACCGTAAACCGTCAAATGAGCAAGCCAATATTAGCAGTCAAATGTCTCTGATATCCTTAATTAAGAATTAATTAAATTGTGCTGTTTTTAAATGATCGTTTTAATATACCACAAAAATGCATTTATGTGCAAGTCCTTTAACTTCTACTCACGGGTGCAAGTGATTGATACGTTCAACGGTAACAAAGGTGATGTAATTACATAAATGAGACACACAGTTGAAGCTAACAACCTAATTTGTAGTGGACAAATTAAAGAACTAAAATTGTATCCTTTTAGGAAAAATATTTAAGTCAAATTTGCGCTGTGATTTCGTGTTATAAACGTTATTCCGAAAAAATAACCGTCCACCGTCAAATGACATAAAATATAACCATAAACCGTCAAAACGGCTTGTTGTTAACCGTCAAAAAAACCCCATCCCCCACCATTGAGACACTCCTTCACTGGTGAAAATATGGCGTCAGTTTTTCGTCAGTAAAAGACAACCATAAGTCGTCAGCGACATGTTAGCGCTGATCAGATTACGACACAGCGTACAATCTTGAAATGAAAGTACTTTTTACAATTAAATGGTTTTTAAGATCAAGATTTAGAGACACTCAGGACAACTCTCTTCTGGAAGCCATACTGTATATTTACAACTGTCATGTTCCTAGCGATAACAACTTTTACAACAATTTACAGCAATTCCATGGAAATCAGTTTTGTAACAAAAAAACTGAAGCATTTACACACTTGCGCGATATAGAGTCAGCAACATAGTGAATATAGTTAGCTACAAGACCTAATCATTGCATTAAAATCTAAAACCATTAAACTAAACCCATTATTGACCGTTTGTGTATGAGAGGGAGGCACGTTCAGAATCACCAATTTGGATCCGCCTAAAAATTCAAATTAGTCAAAGTGGTGTTGATTTTAAAAGCACCAGAGAGGGAACCAGCACCAGAAGCACCAATATCGTTACAACTCAAATCCATATAAGTCAATACCGTTTACACTCAAATCCATATTAGTCAATACGGTATTGAC